ATAAGCCAATGCAAAGAAGAAATGGCTTGGAACATTAAATGCCACGTTTGAAAATTAAAAATGTTCCCCAATGCTAAGTGTGTGAAGTTGTTTGTACAATTCAATGGGAAAAAACATGAAGTTGCTAACACTGGAAATATTTACATGAAGAAATAATCTGATACAAACAATATTTGATTTTCATGTTTTGATAACAGCAAACATTGATGGCAAAATAGGCAATCTCAATATCCTACATGAGGACCGACTATGACATCACAAAGCATACCATTGTAAAATATATTTACTGATGGACATATCTCAAATTAATTTCTAGAAATTATTTTTCAAACTGGGAAGCATTCTGGTACAAAGCATTTGCTAGCCCTTGATATAGTTTTGTTTCCAAACAGCTCAGTACAACCAAAGTATCATAAAAAACCCTTGCCAGCTTTTAAACATTCCTCAGAAATATCAAGAAATGTATTAAGTATGCTAGGATTGAGACAACTGATAAGTCACTGTTTGTTTAGGCCAGACCAATTCCATTACTAGTTTCATGGCAATGTACGTAGCTTAATGCAAGGAATCCAACCGGTTATCAATTTGATGTCTACAAGGCAGGTTTAACATGAAGCCCATTGGTTAGATAAACACACTGATGCTATGTTACTCCTTGGCACATCATCGACAATGAACTACATTAGAATGCACACAGGTAGAAACCTTGTGATTGCCTGCTATGTATCATTACAGCCAACCCAAATAACCAGTACATCTGGACTAGGCCCAGAGTGGCCTCCCTTGGATATTTGTTTACAATCTCGAGATGGGAATATTGGTGATTATCTGTTTTGGAAGTGATTATATCACCATTTAAAAAAAAATTAGGTTTCAAATTGATAATTTCGAAAATATGAAAACAATATTGAAATGGTCTGGACTTCAAAATGAAAGCAAACGAGTTTAAAACACTCCATGTGCCTAAATATTGCCGTTAGAAAACTAGGTCCTACACTATATAAAAGTTCATAATTCAGAGACATAAACCTAAAAATCAAATCTATTAAAGGGTACACTAAACCCCTTTGTCATAATGAAGTGAAACTACCAATACTTACAACACTAAAACTTTCAACACTGCTCTAAGCAAAAGGAAACAATTGTGCAAATGTAGTTTTGAGATCTATAGAAAAAGAAATTGAGAACATATAGAAGAGTTCGGAATGCAAAGTGAACACTGCAAGCTACGAAAGAGGACGGGAGGGATTTAAGGGGTGGGGCCAGCTTCTGTAGGGGCATAAACAACATGTGAAAGTGACCATCTGTGGCCTGTTTATGAACTACGGCGGAGGACTGCTTCAGATTTTGATCATCTCCACTTGCTGTGGTTGCATATGAATAGCAATCTGAGTACTGATATTTCTCTGTGTTGTGAGAAGTACATGTAATGGAGACAGACTCATTCAATGACTTGTCCACTGTTATTCCTGCACGTCCCTGAATGCCAACATAATCTCAGCATGGTCAGCGTACCAGAAAAAGGCCTTACAATTAAGCTTGGTTCACAGATTTGCAACCTTAAAATTTCAGTAAGAGTGAGTGAGGGTTTATGCCGCTTTTAGCAATATTCCAGCAATATTACGGTGGGGGACACCACAAATGGGCTTCACACATTGTACCCATGTCGGTCGAACCAGGGTCTTCAGCGTGAAGACAGAACGCTTTAACCACTAAGCTACACCTCCTCTCTTCAAGATAAAAGGATTAGTTGGAGAGTTTTAACTTCTGACTGAGTAATTCTGACCATTTCAGGGGACACTGATTACAATAGAGCTGAAACACTAGTCATGTCACAATACCTATTTTAAGAAAACGGCAAGCAATTATCTGAATGAGACAACATATTTATGATTATGCCAATTTGAGAAACACTATCAGTATCTAATGTGCAGATAAATGAAGGCAGTTGGAAGCAATGTGCACTGGACCAGGATGAAGCATATTGTGTAAGCAATAAGAACATAACATTAGGAGGCATTAGAGAATTGTTTTGGCCTTGAAGAATGAGTTTTACAATCTGGACATGGAGGTATCCATGGTAACAGTGGTCCAGATTGTTTACATGATCTTGAGTTTATTTCATAACCTCCAGGACTATCATTCTGCACTTAACTGCCAAACAGAGATATTGTACAAAGTGTTCCACTAAATCTTTGTTCAAACATCACCATGATGCCACTTGCATTTTACCACAGGTCACAATCGTTTCACAATGGAGAAAACATCAGCATAAATTATTGTAGGTTGAATGAAAACTTAAAACCACTTCAATAAATGATTCCTATGAAAATGGGTAGCACTCTAACAATGAAATAATATGTTCATTTATACAAAACAAAACAAGCAGAGGACTACAAGCCCTAACACGAGCTCAATTTACAAGTATTATATATAAGGATGTCTTTAATATCTTACAAACATATTCATATAAGTTACACGTAGTACAGCATTACAAAGACAACATTTGTGTAGTAGGATGACTGAACACTGCTCCATGATGGGGTCTCCGATCCAACACATAGCCTAGGTGCCAGGCAGCAGAAATACTGGTATCAGAAGTTCAATATTTCTCTTCCTTCGTAACTTCAAATACACAAAGCACCTGTTTCTTCTACTTCACAATCTTAAACATTCACTTATCTCCTTTCTAGCAAGCAGTTCATGAGTCTGATGTCAGATAAAAACTGCCAATCCTTAGGTTTGGGGATGGTGGTGGGATTAACTGGTCTGTTTTGTTTCCATTCAACAAAATCTTCTCTGATTTTGGACATATAACGTCAATTCATAACAGCTCTGACTGGCACTTTTATACCAAGCAGACAGCACCCTATTGTAGATGAGATGTAATACATGAATACTTGGTGCGTTGGTGTTGCACCACAACTTCTGTGATAGTGAGTGAGTGAGTATGGTTTTACGTCGCTTTAAGCAATATTCCAACAATATCACGGCGGGGGACACCAGAAATGGGCTTCACACATTGTACCCATGTCGGGAATTGAACCCGTCTCTTCGGTGTGACGAGCGAACGCTTTAACCACTAGGCTACCCGACCGCCCCACTTCTGTGATAAACCTCAAGCAATGGTACAATGATTTATCAGGAACGGTGTTCTGTATCCGACTCATGAACCGGCTTCTGTACCAGACAAGGAGGTTCAGATAAAACTTGGTTTAGTTACGGGAATGGTCATGGCACCTGACCCACATTTCAAGAGACCTCAGTGCGACATCTGTTAGAGTACAAATCTAGGATTTCATGTCGTAGGGACACAGCACAAACTTGAACCGAGTACAAGAGAATGATGCTGTGCTTGACTTGGGGGCTAATTAACCGGATTAATTTGGTACACACCATATTCTTAGGTCTAACTTTGGTTATCATCACATAATTCATTGACCAATTACCATCCTTCTTTGGCAGGTTTATGGCTCAAGGTGCACAAACCAGCTAAAAATGGTACATATTTCTTTAAATAATAAGGACATATTATCATACTTATATTTCAAAACAAATCACTAAAATCATGAATATTTGCTTTTTGAAAGCAGTTTCTGTATCATTCTGTATTGTCAAGACTAGCATTGGAAAATTCTAACAAGGAGACAATCCACAAAAACACTCACAATACATGACATGTACTATACATACAAAATTACAAAATGTAATCCTTGAACACTGACATCTGTATTTGTGTGTAGACATGGACGACAAGCAGGTGATCGTCTCCAGGTGGTGAGTATTTTAGCTAACCCTGCAGACTTCAGTCTTCCTGCAGCATGCTGTACCAGCTCTCCAGACACAGCATTTGTCTTGTAACATCTAAACTGTCATGTTCAACCCTTCCAGGACCAAGTGTGGAGTGGCACTCAAACCAGTCTGGCGCATCTTCCTGATTGGCTTGACGCGAGAGGAAGGCTCCCAGTGACCAAGGTCACACATGCATACCACACAAGGACCAAGTGTGGAGTGGCACTCAAACCAGACTGGCGCATCTTCCTGATTGGCTTGACGCGAGAGGAAGGCTCCCAGTGACCATGGTCATACATGTATACCACACAAGGACCAAGCGTGGAGTGGCACTCAAACCAGACTGGCGCATCTTCCTGATTGGCTTGACGCGAGACGAAGGCTCCCAGTGACCATGGTCATACATGCATACCACACAAGGACCAAGTGTGGAGTGGCACTCAAACCAGACTGGCGCATCTTCCTGATTGGCTTGAAGCGAGAGGAAGACTCCCAGTGACCATGGTCATACATGCATACCACACAAGGACCAAGTGTGGAGTGGTACTCAAACCAGACTGGCGCATCTTCCTGATTGGCTTGAAGCGAGAGGAAGACTCCCAGTGACCATGGTCATACATGCATACCACACAAGGACCAAGCACTAAATATTCTGAAGGGGCCAGGGATTCTTGTCAGAGACAGAATGTGTCTTTAGTCACTGCTTCAAGATGTACAATTTTGTACTCAGAAAGGAGGTGCTTTATAAACCGACATCATCTTGTTTCAGGGCATCCTGTGAACAATTATGTTTTGTTGCAAAACCCAAAATTATCGTTTTTAATTATTTTGAAAACTAATCCCAGTAGGCCCCTTGACTCACACAGTTCTCTCCCCATCACATCTCATCTCATCTCATGGGTATGTGTTTTAGGGCAACTTCGTACTTATTTAGAATAACCACCCAACCTATTTTTCAACACCGTGTTCTACTGTCCCCTGCACCACCCGCCGTCTTTAGCTTGTGACCAAGATGTAACAATGCCAAAAGGCAAACAAGAGTCATCCCAATCTCATGTCAGCCCGTGAAGATCCGGGGTAGGATAGGTCTACAGCAACCCATGCTTGCCATAAAAAGTGACTATGCTTGTTGTAAGAGGTGACTAACGGGATCGGATGGCCAGGCTCGCAGACATGGTAGATGCATGTCATCGTATCCCAATTGCATGGATTGATGCTCATGATGTCAATCACTGGATTATCTAGTCCAGCCTCGATTTTTTACAGACCGCCGTCATATAGCTGGAATATTGCTGAGTGCAGCGTTCAACAACAAACAAAACAAACAAAAATCATGTCAGCCAGTGTAATGTCTAATAGCACCCAGCTGGAATGACCTCTCTGTGACCTTGGAAGGTTGAAGATGACAGCAGTATCTCATGAACTGAGTAAACTTGAAGGCTGAAGCTGATAACCTAGGAATAAGGAAGTTGACAACTTGCAGGTCAAATAATGAACTTGAACAACTTTCTTTTAAGTAATTGATTTACAGTTAAGACTGTTTCTCAATACGCAAGAAAAAAGTTGAAATATTTTGATCTCTGGCATTTTCAAAATTGATCAATTTGTTCAGGAAATGTGAGTACAAGAGTTTCACGCTTCTTGTATATTTCTCTCAGATTAATAGTGTGTAATAATGAAACACACAGACACGATACATGATTGTATATGGAAGTAGGGAATCCATTGAGCAATCCAAGCATGTCACTACATCGGAACCTTCACACCAGGATTAAAGGTCGTCAACGAGCACTTTCTAAAATCTTGCAGAACCTACAGTATCACATGATATAAATGTGGCTAAATGGAGTTCACTTTTTTTACACATAACCAAAGTAAATTTAACCAAGATATTACTGTTAACAAGTATCGTAAAAATAAAAATGGGTTACATCATCTGTCGACTATTAGTTCACAAAATGATGATCAGCAAAAATTCCTCAAAAGAGAGCAACATTTTGGCAAGTTGTTCACTCGATGACGACAATTAATCGTGCAGCTGCCATTAAGGAGAAAGGGGTGGAGATATCTTCACTGAAATGTGGTTTAGTATTTCAGTTTTAATAATCCGAGAATTAATTGACATTATTCCCCAGCTCACTTGTGTTGACAGGAATACAAGTGTCCACAAAGCAAAACGGAATAACATGGTTTTTTTTATACACTGCAAATCCATCAACTGAAGAAGTCCAAAGAAAGTGCAATCAAAATGTGCATCACACTTGAACCTTTGTTGAAATTGTTTTGGGGGTCTATTTCATAGAGTTATCTCCCTTTGACCTGAAGACTCCAAGCACACATAACGTGTGTGTTACAGCCACATTATTAACCAAAGGTTCACCGACTCGGTCAAGAATATAATCAGAAAATGAACAACAACAAAAAGAATAATACTCCTGTAAAGGACGTATCATGTTTCCACCCAAGACTGAAACAGAGTGGTACCAACAAGCGTATTGTGTTTGTAGTAACATTAAAAGACAGTCTTTGTAACAAAAAGGATGACACGGTTACAAGCATAAGCATTAGCATTGACAAGATCAGACTTTGTCAACAAATAGCACAGAGAATTAGAAAAGGAATTACGCATCTCCAATGAATGTGTTTTTGGCATATATGACAACAAAAATGTGATGAATGAAGTGAAACCTACAGGTTCTATTCTGTTGATAATTTTCAAAGGTCATTAAAAACTGTGATATTGTAGAAAGTGCTTGTCAAAACAACAATACTTGGATAAGATTTTTTTTTTATAGACCTCTATCAAACTATCAAGGGAAAGAACCCATAGTAACCATGGTAACTGATGTTATGCTCATGAAAATAACATCTAACAGAAAAAAGCCCTTGTGACTACAAGTACTACTGCACTACAACTTATCTTGTGTGTGTCACAAAGAATGGTGACAGAAGAGAGGCTGGTACTGGATGATATCCTTTGTATCCCTTCATTAACTGAATAAACAACAGAATTATATGTTTCACTCTCGGAGAAAACCTGAAATGTCTTTGGGTCCGAAACGTTCATTTTCCATCGAGTAAAATTAGCTGTATGTGTAACAACAATAGAGGCAAGAGCTATTGCTTGCTCCAAAACATGGTCCAATGTAGAATGTTTTTTATATTTTGCCTGGTTCTTCTTCAGGTTAACTGTTACCTTTAAATCATGACACCTCCGCAAAATAAGATGTTTATACATGTTTTAAGACAGGAGAAGTGAAATCTCCCTTGGCAGTATGACAGTCTGTTATAGAGTCTGGTACCTCTCAGTGTCTTCTGAACCTACAGGTTTACATCACCGAGTTCTTATTTCACATTTTTTGTGAGCCTTTTATATCCCCAATCTGCTTTTTTAAAATACAAATACATAAATATCAACACCAGTCTGCAAATTTGGCCAATAGCCCGAAGCCTGAATCTCGTAAACACTTCCCTAAATCTAGTAAGCTTAGCTAATTCCACTCAGAATGTCAAGACTTAAATCAACTGAAAATGTACATAAAAGTCAGTTCAGATATGTTTGACACAAACTCCGTTAACAGAACACTGTTGTTCCATGTCAAATAGTCACACTGCCAATTACCGGGAACACTTAGGATAAAACTTCCAAGTACAACCTCTATGACACAGGTCCAGCACAGTGAGGGCCAACTAATAACATGGTCTTTCTACAAGAGGTCCTGATGTAAACCACCAAATATAATCAAGTTGAATAGAGCACAAAACATCAAGAGTCATCGTATTTGAACTGCCCCTTCTGAACTGAATAACTATTATCATTAGTGTCAAGAATAATTAATCGAGTAGAGTTACAATGTTAGTCTAACATTTTTATACAGAGATGAAAATTCAATTTGTGAGGATGTCGTTGTCCATGTGTAATATCAGATAACTGCCACAGGATAATCTAAACACAATCTCAGTTGTCATTGCACATTTGCAAATGCCTTTCATTTTTAAAACAGGACCAAAAAAAAGTAAAAAATGAAAATATTTTAGAATAATTCCTAAACTCAGAACATATGCAAATATCAGAAATATAGTTCTTGGCGATCTCATTCATTATTTGGGTGGTGTTATACCTAAAGGATTGTACAACAGTCTTAAAATGACACTCAAATATTGTAATAGAGGAGACATTAAGGAAGATTTCATTTGAAATGAGAGTGTTGGTTTTGAAATACAAGCAGAGAAATGCACACAACATGAAAATGGAAGATACTGTGTCTTGGTTCATTCATGGAGATGGCTTCATGATCAAAGACCACAATGGCAAGGGTTAAAAGGGTACACTATAAAAGGAATTTGGTTTTAAAAGAATTCAAAGATCAAATCACAAAGGAAGTAATGTTCATACTTAAAAAAAATCCAGTCCCTGAAAAAGTCTTTCCACCAACATGTGACCTCAATAATCACAAAATGAAAACATATTAGAAAGCAAAATATCCCATACTGAAATAACTGCTTCTGAGACCGTATGTCCGTACACTCTCAATCCATATGATGCCTTCGTGGTCACCATGTATCAACATGTTTCAACCTAGTTGGACCCTTATAACAGTAAGTTCATCTGCAGTACTACAGTCAAAAGGACTCTTCCCTGGGACGAGGCAAAGCCTGCACTGTGCACCTTGTAGGGTTGTGCTTACTCGATACTCTTGGAGATGAATTCCAGGAATCTCTTGGCATATTGGTCAGGCCTGACCGTGGATATTTCCGCCCCTGCCCCATGTTTCACAGTCTTGGCAGCCTGTGCTGTCCGTTTCTTCATTCCGTATTTCGTCAGGACATCGATGAGGGCCATGAAATAGATTTCTTGATCTGAAAGGGAGGATGGCAGTGCATGAGAGTTACCATTGCTTCCTGAGGAATCCAAGAGAAACGTAACGCTGAAACTCAGCAATATCAGAGGTGTATGGTGGTGGCCTGTAAGGGATCGAATCTGGACCAGACAAACCAGTGGTTGACATTGTGAGCACCAATTCACATCATCGGAGTACAATAACACTAAATCTACCAAGTCACCGTCTGACCAGTCAATCCAATGTAATCCCAGCCTGTGACTTCAGCCACCAGCCTAGTAGAATTCTGCTTGGTCTAGTAAGCCAAGCTGTTATTATTCCATGAAAATGTACTAAAAATGCTAAGTTTGGACTTGTGGACTCAAATGTTTTTAACACAGACTGTAATCCCTTCTTATAACAAACAATGGGGACCAACTCTAACCCAGAATCCATCTGGGGCCCCTAAACACTAGAGTGAGTGAGTTTGGTTTTACGCCGCTTTTAGCAATATTCCAGCAATATCACGGCGGGGGACACCAGAAATGGGCTTCACACATTGTACCCATGTCAGGATTCGAACCCGGGTCTTCCGCGTGACGAGCGAACACTTTAACCACTAGGCTACCCGACCGCCCCCCTCAACACTAGAACTTACTTTCACTACTTTTAATTGCATACTGCTCCAGCCTGGAGTCCAGCTCTCCTGTGAATGGGGTGGGTGTGGCAGGTTGGGGGCTGTCCGGTGGGGTGGGGACGGCTCCATAGCCATCAGTCATCTCTTCCTCCCCCAAACCATTCTCTTCCTCCTCGTCCGCCCCCTCCTCCCCATCGTCGGGGGCCGGCAAGTCGGTCTGATCTGAATCACCTTTATCAGGGTCGTGGATGCCCACGATGAGACTGTAGTCCATTAGGTGCAAGCTGGCCAGGAACTGAAAAGGTACATTTCAAACTGCATTTTTAGAATGAAAACCAAGAATGAAATATTCCCACCAACGGTATGTTCTACTGAGTGTAACCGCCTCTGTGGTCTAGTGGTAGAGCGTCCGCCCGGAGAGCGGAAGGTCCGGGGTTCGATCCCCGGCCGCGTCATACCAAAAGACGTTAAAAGATGGTACTTGTTGTTACCCTGTCCGGCGCTCGGCATTAAGGGGCTAAAACAAGGACTGGTCGGCTCGGAGTCAGTATACTGTGTCTGAGTGGGGTATTCATGTTTTACTGCGGCATGGTATCTCAGTGAGCTAGCACTATAAATCGGCATCAGTCCGGCACACACGTACATGCACGTCGCTATATAATTGCAATAAACTTGGACGCGACGTTAAACCCCATTTCACCTCACCTCACCTACTGAGGGTAAAACACAAGCCTCTGACCATCATGGTTGCCTCAGACTTGATCCTTACTCAAAAGTGGTAAACACGCTGCTAGCTGACTGGTACCTTTAGCCAACCCAGGTCTCACATACCAGGTTACTGGTAGAGTGTGGGCAAGCTATATATTCTAAGGACTGATAATTTACATGTAGTCTAATAATATAACAAAATGTTAATAAAAAAGCTGTGTATATGATACCCAAGATGGGTATAGGACACCTAAGGAGTGTATTGGACACCCAAAGAGTGTATGGGAAACCGAAGAAGTGTATAGGACACCCAAGGATTGCATGGGACGCCCAAGGAGAGTATTGGACACCCAAGGAGTGTATGGGACACCCAAGGAGTGTATTGGACACCCAAAGAGCGTATGGGAAACCGAAGAAGTGTATAGGACACCCAAGGATTGCATGGGACACCCAAGGAGAGTATTGGACACCCAAGGAGTGTATGGGACACCCAAGGAGCGTATGGGACACCCAAGGAGTGTATGGGACGCCCAAGGAGTGTATGGGACGCCCAAGGAGTGTATTGGACACCCAAGGAGTGTATGGGACACCCAAGGAGCGTATGGGACACCCAAGGAGAGTATGGGACGCCCAAGGAGTGTATGGGAAACCCAAGGAGTGTATTGGACACCCAAAGAGAGTATGGGAAACCGAAGGAGTGTATTGGACACCCAAGGAGTGTATTGGACACCCAAGGAGAGTATTGGACACCCAAGGAGTGTATGGGACACCCAAGGAGTGTATGGGACACCCAAGGAGCGTATGGGACACCCAAGGAGAGTATGGGACACCCAAGGAGTGTATTGGACACCCAAAGAGTGTATGGGAAACCCAAGGAGTGTATTGGACACCCAAAGAGAGTATGGGAAACCGAAGGAGTGTATTTGACACCCAAAGAGTGTATGGGAAACCGAAGGAGTGTATGGGACACCCAAGGAGAGTATGGGACACCCAAGGAGAGTATTGGACGCCCAAGGAGAGTATTGGACGCCCAAGGAGCGTATGGGAAACCCAAGGAGTGTATTGGACACCCAAAGAGAGTATGGGAAACCGAAGGAGTGTATTGGACACCCAAAGAGTGTATGGGAAACCGAAGGAGTGTATGGGACACCCAAGGAGTGTACGGGACACCTAAGGAGCGTATGGGACACCCAAGGAGTGTATTGGACACCCAAAGAGCGTATGGGAAACCGAAGGAGCGTATGGGACACCCAAGGAGTGTACGGGACACCTAAGGAGCGTATGGGACACCCAAGGAGCGTATTGGACACCCAAAGAGTGTATGGGAAACAGAAGGAGTGTACAGGACGCCTAAGGAGTGAACAGGACACCCAAGGAGCGTATGGGAAACCCAAGGAGTGTATTGGACACCCAAAGAGTGTATGGGAAACCGAAGGAGCGTATGGGACACCCAAGGAGTGTATGGGACACCCAAGGAGTGTACGGGACACCCAAAGAGAGTATGGGAAACCGAAGGAGTGTATTGGACACCCAAAGAGTGTATGGGAAACCGAAGGAGTGTATGGGACACCCAAGGAGTGTACTGGACACCTAAGGAGCGTATGGGACACCCAAGGAGTGTATTGGACACCCAAAGAGCGTATGGGAAACCGAAGGAGCGTATGGGACACCCAAGGAGTGTACGGGACACCTAAGGAGCGTATGGGACACCCAAGGAGCGTATTGGACACCCAAAGAGTGTATGGGAAACCGAAGGAGTGTACAGGACGCCTAAGGAGTGAACAGGACACCCAAGGAGCGTATGGGAAACCCAAGGAGTGTATTGGACACCCAAAGAGAGTATGGGAAACCGAAGGAGTGTATTGGACACCCAAAGAGTGTATGGGAAACCGAAGGAGCGTATGGGACACCCAAGGAGCGTATGGGACACCCAAGGAGTGTACGGGACACCTAAGGAGCGTATGGGACACCCAAGGAGTGCATTGGACACCCAAAGAGTGTATGGGAAACAGAAGGAGTGTACAGGACGCCTAAGGAGTGAACAGGACACCCAAGGAGCGTATGGGAAACCAAAGGAGCGTACTGGACACCCAAAGAGAGTATGGGAAACCGAAGGAGTGTATTGGACACCCAAAGAGTGTATGGGAAACCGAAGGAGTGTACAGGACACCCAAGGAGTGTACGGGACACCTAAGGAGCGTATGGGACACCCAAGGAGTGTATTGGACACCCAAAGAGTGTATGGGAAACAGAAGGAGTGTACAGGACGCCTAAGGAGTGAACAGGACACCCAAGGAGCGTATGGGAAACCCAAGGAGTGTATTGGACACCCAAAGAGAGTATGGGAAACCGAAGGAGTGTATGGGACACCCAAGGAGTGTATGGGAAACCGAAGGAGTGTATGGGACACCCAAGGAGTGTATGGGACACCCAAGGAGTGTATGGGAAACCGAAGGAGTGTATGGGACACCCAAGGAGAGTATGGGAAACCCAAGGAGTGTATGGGACACCCAAGGAGCGTATGGGAAACCGAAGGAGTGTATGGGACACCCAAGGAGTGTATGGGACACCCAAGGAGTGTACGGGACACCTAAGGAGCGTATGGGAAACCGAAGGAGTGTATTGGACACCCAAAGAGTGTATGGGAAACCGAAGGAGTGTATGGGACACCCAAGGAGTGTATGGGACACCCAAGGAGTGTACGGGACACCTAAGGAGCGTATGGGACACCCAAGGAGCGTATTGGACACCCAAAGAGTGTATGGGAAACAGAAGGAGTGTACAGGACGCCTAAGGAGTGAACAGGACACCCAAGGAGCGTATGGGAAACCCAAGGAGTGTATTGGACACCCAAAGAGAGTATGTGAAACCGAAGGAGTGTATGGGACACCCAAAGAGTGTATGGGAAATCGAAGGAGTGTATGGGACACCCAAGGAGTGTACGGGACACCCAAGGAGCGTACAGGACACCCAAGGAGTGTACGGGAAACCCAAGGAGCGTATTGGACACCCAAAGAGTGTATGGGAAACCGAAGGAGTGTATTGGACACCCAAAGAGTGTATGGGAAACCGAAGGAGTGTACAGGACACCCAAGGAGTGTACGGGACACCCAAGGAGCGTACAGGACACCCAAGGAGTGCATGGGACACCCCAAGGAGTGCATGGGACACCCAAGGAGTGTACGGGACACCTAAGGAGTGTATGGGACACCTAAGGAGTGTACGGGACACCCAAGGAGTGTATGGGACACCCAAGGAGTGTACGGGACACCCAAGGAGTGTATGGGACACCTAAGGATTGCATGGGACACCCCAAGGAGTGCATGGGACACCCCAAGGAGTGCATGGGACACCCAAGGAGTGTACGGGACACCCAAGGAGTGTATGGGAAACAGAAGGAGCGTACAGGACGCCTAAGGAGTGAACAGGACACCCAAGGAGCGTATGGGAAACCCAAGGAGTGTATTGGACACCCAAAGAGAGTATGGGAAACCGAAGGAGTGTATGGGACACCCAAGGAGTGTATGGGAAACCGAAGGAGTGTATGGGACACCCAAGGAGTGTATGGGACACCCAAGGAGTGTACGGGACACCTAAGGAGCGTATGGGAAACCGAAGGAGTGTATTGGACACCCAAAGAGTGTATGGGAAACCGAAGGAGTGTATGGGACACCCAAGGAGTGTATGGGACACCCAAGGAGTGTACGGGACACCTAAGGAGCGTATGGGACACCCAAGGAGCGTATTGGACACCCAAAGAGTGTATGGGAAACAGAAGGAGTGTACAGGACGCCTAAGGAGTGAACAGGACACCCAAGGAGCGTATGGGAAACCCAAAGAGTGTATTGGACACCCAAAGAGAGTATGGGAAACCGAAGGAGTGTATGGGACACCCAAAGAGTGTATGGGAAACAGAAGGAGTGTACAGGACACCCAAGGAGTGTACGGGACACCCAAGGAGCGTACAGGACACCCAAGGAGTGCATGGGACACCCCAAGGAGTGCATGGGACACCCAAGGAGTGTATGGGACACCCAAGGAGTGTACGGGACACCCAAGGAGTGTACAGGACACCCAAGGAGTGTACGGGAAACCCAAGGAGTGTATGGGACACCTGAGGAGTGTATGGGACACCCAAGGAGTGTACGGGACACCCAAGGAGTGTATGGGACACCTAAGGAGTGTACGGGACACCCAAGGAGCGTACAGGACACCCAAAGAGTGTACGGGAAACCCAAGGAGTGTATTGGACACCCAAAGAGTGTATGGGAAACCCAAGGAGTGCATTGGACACCCAAAGAGTGTATGGGAAACCGAAGGAGTGTACAGGACACCCAAGGAGTGTACGGGACACCCAAGGAGCGTACAGGACACCCAAGGAGTGCATGGGACACCCCAAGGAGTGCATGGGACACCCAAGGAGTGTACGGGACACCCAAGGAGTGTATGGGACACCCAAGGAGTGTATGGGACACCTAAGGAGTGTACGGGACACCCAAGGAGTGTATGGGACACCCAAGGAGAGTACGGGACACCCAAGGAGTGTATGGGACACCTAAGGATTGCATGGGACACCCCAAGGAGTGCATGGGACACCCAAGGAGTGTACGGGACACCCAAGGAGTGTATGGGACACCCAAGGAGTGTACGGGATGCCTAAGGAGTGTACGGGACACCCAAGGAGTGCATGGGACACCCAAATAGCTAATTCTTGACTCAGACTCACAACACTTCCAACATCAGAAACAAGGGACTTACCAATATTCTATCAGGGGGCTGGGGATTTTTTTTAGAAAATTTTACTTGTTCAGTCATGCCAAAAACGTTCAGGACCCACAACACACTATTTTTCAGAACCTCCAGCATGTCCAGTGAAAGATCCCCACCGCTAAACCAGAGGATGATAAACATATTTCACCTGCATTTTGGGAAATACTATTAAGTCTACAGAACATAAACTGGCTTGTCCTAAACATGTTAGGTTGGTATGTTGTTTTACGCCACACTCAGCAATATTCCAGCTATATGACGGAGGTCTGTAAATAATCGGGTCTGGACAAGACAATCCAGTGATTGATATCACGAGCACCGATCCACGCAATTGGGATCGATGACATGCATCAACCAAGTCAGCGAGTCTGACCACCAGATCCTGTTAGTCGCCTCTTACGACAAGCATAGTCGCCTTTTATGGCAAACATGGATTGCTGAAGACCTATTCCACACCGAATCTTTCATGGGTCTAAACGTTTGGAATGAAATATAATTCAGAGCAGCTGTGTATCAGTACCTCAACATCTTTTGTTAATGTCGGCATGAAATTATCCTTGGCTTCTTGTCCGATTTGAATTGTGACGCCATCATTCACAAAGTCCACATCTTTTAATGTTGGCAGAAGCTTTAGCTGGAGAACACAAAGAACCACCATCACATCACGCATCACATAACTTGATATTTTCCAACTTCAATCATAAAGTTAATATCTGCATAATTAGAAAATAATATACAGTAGAATTGAAGGTACATACACATTACGTACATTTATCAATAGTCTGTGATTTGGGACACTAGAACACCCGTGATTTATTGAATTACTTTATCTGTATGTGTGTGTTTGTGTTTGTAGGGTAATGTGACACTCAGCAATATTCCAGTCGTATGACTGGCCTTAAATAATCAAGTCTGGACAGCGTTAGAAATTGGCACTAGCCCCGTGGTCCTTGCCAAACTGCCAAATAGTTAGGTTATCATAAGAATCAGTAGAAAATTGACATTTTTAAGGGCTCTGCTGTATGTTATCATACTAGTGGACTAGTGGACAAAAAATGTTAGTTTCTACCACTGCTGGACCTGACAATCCAGTGATTGATATTGTGAGCAATGATCCACGGCGTCAGGGTACGACGATACGCCATCAACCCAGCCTGACAACCCTATCAATTAAGTAGCCTCTTACGATGAACATTGGTTGCTGGGGATAAATTCTAATCTGAAATCCCCACAACTTTAGGGATCGTCATCTGTAATACATTGGTCGACATTCACTTCCACCACTGATTGATAATACAGGACGTATACATCAGGGTGGCGTTGTACAAAACAACCTTAGAGCTACAACTGTCGTATGTCTATGTTAAGGTATGGGAGTTACGATAACCTAAGCGCTGAGACTGCTTTGTAAAACAGCACCCTGCTCTCCATAACAATCATGACAAAGTTAATTTATGATAAAGAGTGAGTGAGTGAGTGACTGAGTGAGTAGTAAGGGTGTGCGGTATTTCCTGTATATCAGTACATTGAAGTCCATTCTTTCCACAATATCCTTTTGATGCTCATGTGTTAAATGTTATACACTTGCCCAAATACGTGTATCCAGAGCCCCCAAGATATCTGCATATTCAGTGAATGAGTAAACATGTACTAACATCTCGTTTTGTTCTATTTATGAACTTCAATTCATACATTGATGTTTTGGATTGCTTCTGAATTCACAATTTAGAATTATACAATATATTGTGATACTTATCGCAGTACGACCTTGTGTATCGCAAAACATTGATGCACTTAAAACCTCAAAAACCCATCCTTAGTGAGTAGACTTTGACGCTGATTTGTCAAAGTGTCTGTGTGTCGGCTTCATGTAGGGCAAAGCACAGATATAAACAGATAAACAGATAAAACGATGTTTTCAAAGTCACATACCCTTTCTTTGTCGCTTGCTTGTCTGTCAACTGTAGACCCCTGAAATAGATGAAACATCATATATATCATATCGTTACACAACAGGCACTGAGTGGAGTGGAGTGGAGTGGAGTGGAGTGGAGCGGAGTGGAGCGGAGTGGAGTGGAGCGGAGTGGAGCGGAGTGTGGTGGAGTGGAGTGGAGTGGAGTGGAGTGGAGTGGAGCGGAGTGGAGCGGAGTGGAGTGGAGCGGAGTGGAGCGGAAGTGAGAGGTGTCAGCGATTGAGTGAGTGTTGTTTTACACCACTGGCAGATCCTGGGGGGATGGGGGTGGCGCAACCCCTCTTTCTTCTGACAATGAGGTTGTAACGTTTGATAATGATCAATTAACTGTGTGGGATTGATACCTGAACATGCTTGTCTTATCTATCAACTAAGTTATTGCATAAAAAAATAAATAAATAAAGTTCAGTTAAGTCATTTAAAAAATCTGACGTTTCTTTTCTAGTATAGTGTATGCTTTGTTGATTTTATTTATTACTTTATATAATGTATTTCAAAATTTGCTTGAAACGTCTATTTTGCTCTTTGACAAATTGATATGGAGCTGTTATTAAAGCATGCGTCCAAGAAATAATTTTTTCAATAACACTGCGGGGAGATAGTGCATCATTTTATAACCTACAAAATGATAAATTGAAATGAAATACGTATTTCAGACATTCTGAAATGTGATAGATTTAATGAATGAAGGACAAGACAATAAAATTCTATACTATTTTGATGTGGCTACGACTTGGCCCGGGTACTGGCCTGCCGTGTTGAAAGAGTTAATTCCCTGGTATCGATAACCCATACACACACCCAAACTTGGACGAATAAATAGGGTATCTTCTTTCTGATACAATGTAAACACACAAAATGTTAATCCCACCCCCTTTATTCAACACTGTATAGAAGAAAGTGTTAGTGATACATTCATACGTGGAGGCTGTGAGAACCTGACTAAGGATTGGCCTTTCCACTGCTCAGATCAATACACACAAAGACATCTTTGTCAGCTTATGTTCTGACCACAGGTATTACCTGTCTACTCGGGACAGACACGCCTTGTCTGGTTCACCTGGTGAACAACTAACATCTGTACAGGGACGGAAACTTGCACCAGTTTCACCAATGTCAAAAGTATCGTAAGTGCTGGTAGAATTTTGAACATTTACCAACATTCAGGCTAGTAGACTTCTGGGGTTAATTTCTATCCCAGTACAAGTAGGGCACAGCTTAGCTTGCATCAATTCATTCGTTTTTCCACATCGGCACTAATCGAGGGATCACTAGTAAATGGGGGATGTAAATGGGTTGCATTGTGCTGACACGATGAACTCGGTTTGGGTCCCTATACAGTATGTCAATGTTATGACACTGTACTGCCCTGAGGGGAAACTCAAAGTGATGCAGGTCTTCAGACTAGATACACCCATCAATGCAGGAGTTCAACCACTACTACTCACATCAGTAACTACAAAGTGTGTGAGTAAGTTGGCTTTAACATTGCTTTGAACCGTATTTCTGTTATAAAACATCATGTCACCATAATATGAAGGTGAGGTGAGGTGAAATGGGGTTTAACGTCGCGTCCAAGATTATTGCACTTGTATATAGCGACGTGCATGCACGTGTTTGTGTGTGTCTGCTTGTACTAGTGTGGACTGATGCCGATTTAAAGTGCTAGCTCACGGAGATACCATGCTGCAGTTTAACATGAATATCCCGATCAGACAGTTTACTGACCCAGAACTGACGAGTCCTTGTTTTTTAGCCAGGGTAACAACAAGTACCATCTTTTAACATCTTTTGGTATGACGCGGCCTGGGATCGTACCCCTGAACTTCCGCTCTTCGGGCGGACGCTCTGCCACTAGACCACGAGGCGGTTCATAATATGAAGGAATGCAAAGTGAATAGCAGTGCCATGGAGGACTGGACCACCCAAGACTTAAACTAAGCATGGAAGTCCAGGAGTTCTTGTCTCAACCCAAAGTTGAAAATTCAGTGAGCCCTAGAACTAAATACAATAGCATAAATCTCAAGGACCCTAGGTCGCCCCAAAATGTGGTTGTCACTGTGATACCTGTATTATGTATACAGTGATTTTGCCTGAAACAATTGAGATTAGGATTTTCCATAATTTTATCAATATTTGACCTTTACAAAACTTTGAAAAATATCTTTAGGACATGTTTGATGACAATCAGTCAATCCTGATCTGAAGCCTGTGCATATCAAGATCTACTTCAGTATATGTCAAACATTCACTTGATAAGAGCCCATACCTGGTGGTACAAGGCAACTTATTGGATCGGGTGGTCAGGCTCAGTGACTTCCTTGGGAGTATGTCATCATACCTCAGTGGTCAGTGTTAGAAATTAACTTCTATTTTGGCTACACTGTAAACATTATCTGGTGCAGAGATGCCATCTACTACTGGTATTCCATAAGGAAACGTCAAGGTGAGCTGAGGTGAAATGGGGTTTAACGTCGCGTCCAACATTATTGCACTTATATAGTGACGTGAATGTACGTGTGTGTTTGTCTGGCTGCTTGTACTAGTCCGGACTGATGCCTATTTATAGTGCTAGCTCACTGAGATACCATGCCGCAGTTTAACATGAATATCCCACTCAGACACAGTATACTGACTCCAAGCCGACCAGTCCTTGTTTTTGCCCCTTTTAATGCCGAGCGCCAGACAGGGTAACAACAAGTACCATCTTTTAACGTCTTTTGGTATGACGAGGCCGGGGATCGAACCCCGGACCTTCCGCTCTCCGGGCGGACGCTCTACCACTAGACCATGGAGGCTGTGGAAACGTCAAGTACTCCCTGGGTTTTACTAGTTTCGGACAGTTTACTGTTGCAGATTTTTCTCAATTTCGAACCTGATGACGTGGATGGATGCTACAATATCACCAGATTGTTATATCCAATATGTACAGGCAGGCTGTACAATATGAACATGTAGCTGGAATATTGCTGAGTGAGGCTTTAAACACAAACAACACACTTCATAAGATACAACATGATCATGTCGGAAAGTGTTCACCCCTCTTAAAGTCACCTCCAGAATAACTCTATGTTCTCTATGACTAGACCATGACCAATCAGCACCAACACCTGTCAGGTAGAATCTCTGCACCGTGTTGCCTCCATGTTGGAAATCCGACCAAATCTCCTCATCTGGTTAGGTGTTAGATGCTACTGCCCTTACAGCTTCTGCTGCATGATGTTTAGGTTTGACAGGGTGCTCCACTGCCTCAGGTGGATCCAATAAAGATCCCCAGCTTGGCAGAGAGTCTGAGTCTAGGTTTACCATCCTTGTTTGTTTGTCTATGCTCTGGAACCAACCCGAAACAACCTGTGTATCTCTTAACATGCTTAATCTACTCAGTCTGTGTAAATGGTCTCCAGAATAGGCCTACAGTGTCTACATAGCAAATACTTCTCAGACTGTCAGTACTGCTTACAATACTGCCCAACAGGGTCTAGATTGTGCACATAACATGACATATACTCCACTGACACTTTAAACTCTTTATGTCTTAAAATGGGAAAAAAACATCCAATCACAAGTGAAAGTTCTGTTTTATGCTACTTTTAGCATTATTGCAAACTCATTCAATATATGTGACTCACCAGGAGAAAAGGGACCTTATGGGTGCCAGGATACAACTGTGCTATGACGTCAAAAAGAAAATGAGTCGAAATGTTTGATGCCATGCATCTGTGTTATAAATATGAACTGAAGCTTGTGAATTGTATTTTTGTGGTCTTATATACCGTATATGACCGCGTATAAGCCGAATTTTGAGGACCAGAAAAAAGATTCTGTAGAAAGGGGTCGGCTTATCCACGGGATACACTTTCATGATAGTATTTTTCAGATCGTGATCTGTCAGAAACATCGGCTGAATGACGGTCCGATAGATTACAACTTCCCGAAAGTTTGGAAGTTGCCACGACTAGAGCCATTATTCTTATAAATTATCAATAAAGTTATTATTATACACCAATGTTGTCATTATTAAAAAAATGTTATGCATGTTACTCCTTCCGATAATAAGTTTTCAATTGAATGTTCAAAGTTTATCGTTCTTCGTAAACTCCACAATCTTTACATGTAACAATATATGTAATTCACAGCTATAATATATAATCCCCAGATAAAAACGCCAATAGCTATTACGTACGTTTTGCAAAGTTCATAAATTGATAGTGAACAAGTGTCTACCTTTATTGAAAGAGGCAAATAAACAACTGTATCGGCGAGTTATTCCGTTCGCCATTTGCAAAAACATGTGATCAGCTGTTACCTGTGACGTCACGAACGGTGACCACTGTGATTGCTTCCTGTTGTTTAAAGCAACACGGTACACAAGGAAATGAGCATTGATAATAACGGGCCGATTGGTATTGTCATGTTGTTTACACAAACATTTTCAAGTTGTGGGTGCTTAGCGATCGTGTTGGGAGTAGGGGCTTAATTCCTTTGTTTTCGAGAGATTAGTTTAATAAACTGGAGAAGCCTGTGAGTAAGTGATGGTCATTCAATGTGTTCATAGTATGATAGTTTATTTAATTCAATTGAATTAACATACAATAGTGGTGTAAAGGGGGTTATAAAAGTTGGTATATTTTTGCAGACTGACATTTTTATCATGAGTTTTAAACAAAAACGCCATGCTTACGATGCTGAATTCAAACTGCGAGTCTTCGCTCCAGCTGATATATTTTCTCACGGGTTCATAATTCTATATACACCGATTCACAAAATGGCGCTTGGTTGTTGATGGCAACATATAACGATCATTATGAGATTAAAAAAACCCACGAGAAACAGCTTCCCACATTATGAAAGTGGATGACTGGTTTGTTAAATCTTTTTTAGAAATAATAATGACTTTTTCAATATAATTACAACGTTTTTCATCTTATATTTTTGAATATTTGCGAGTACCGGCACATGTCTTGAAGTCCGACTTCGCAGTGTTTTTTGTCTTTCAATT